CCAATAAAAGGAAGCTGAGAGCACATGAAACTGTGAAGCTTACTGAGGAAACTCATCTATAAACCTTAAAAAGCTTCCACTTAAGTTTTAATATTCCTTGAACAATTGGAAAAACTCATATTAATAAGGCTTTATATGATTTAGGAGCAAGTATTAATCTTATGCCTTATTATGTTTTCAGCTTAGAATGCATAAATCTAAGCAACCTCCATGTCACTTCAGCTGACAGATAGGTCAATCACATACTTCAAAGGCATAATAGAGAATGTACTTATAAAAGTTAGAGAGTTTATATTTCCTGCTGACTTTGACTTTGTGGTGCTTGACATGGAAGAAGATGGTGATATTTCTATCATATTATGGAGATTGTTTTTTGCCACTGCAATGGCCATTATAGATGTAAAAGAAGAAAAACTCACATTGAGGCTAGATGATGAGGAAATTGTATTTCAAGTTTTTAATTATTTAAAGTATCATTTTAGCCAAAAGTCCTGTAACTTTGTGAGCACTGTGAATGTTACTTCTCCCTCTTTGAATTCTACAAGGCATACAATTACAAGAAGAAAACCAAGAAAGAAGCCATCTAGAAAGAAGAAAAGACAAAAGCTCAAACCATTCATTAATAAGCCTCTTGAGTTAGAGCTAAAATTTTCTTCTTGTTTTGATCCTTTTTCTATGATTAATTTTTTTGGTGTGACGAGTGTTCTGGGGAAGAAGTTATTGGAAAGACAATTACATATCAAGGGAGTCACCTCTAAGACTCATGCCTTCTTACCACCATGATTTAACAGGAATGTTAGGCTCGTGATGCTAAACAATCTTTCTCAAAGTAAATAGATCATTTAAAAGTTTCAACATATGTTATTTACGCCACAAATTATATAATTTATATCATAAATTATGTGAGCTTTTTTTTATTTAAATAATAATTTTTAAAAAATAAATTACCAAATTATAAATTTTTTAAAACTATTTCCCTTCTGAGATAATTTTGGCCACGTGTCATAAGTTTCGCCATTACTGTTAGCGAAACTTTTATTTTTAAATTTTTTTAAATAAATTGTCACTAAAAATATGAAATCTATAATTTTTTTAAACTAAGTTTCGCTACACAAATTGTGAAACTTATAAAATTTTTATATGTGTTAAAATATTATAAATTTTATAATTATAATAAAATTATTTATTTAAAAAATAAAAAAAATTTGCCAGATTAATGGCGAAACTGATTATTAAAAAAAATAAAAATATTAATTATTAAATTCAATTGCATTGCTAAAGGGGGTGAATCAAACGCAGGGAACAACGTCAATCTTCGGTCACTTTATCTAAAAGGGTCAATTATATTTTTTGTCTAAGATTTAAAAGCAGAAAAAAGAATTAATGGAAGAAGGCTGACCCTTTTAGATAAAGTGATCGAAGTCCTTTAGCAACCCAGCATTTAAATTTAGCAGTTAGTATTTTTTAATTTTTTAATAATTAGTTTCACCATCAATCTAGCGAAACTTTTCATTTTTTTAAATAAATAATTTTTATTATAATTAAAAAATTTATAATATTTTAACATGTGTAAAAATTTTATAAATTTGACAATTTTTGTGGTGAAACTTAATTTAAAAAATAAAAAAAATTATAAATTTCACATTTTTAGTAGCAAAATTTATTTTAAAAAAATTAAAAATAAAATTTCACCAACAGTAACGCGAAACTTATGACTTATGACCAAAATTACCTCAGGAAATAGTTTTAAAAAATTTATAATATGATAATTTATTTTTAAAAAATTATTATTTAAATAATAAAGTCCACATAATTTATGATATAAATTACATAATTTGTGGCATAAATGACAAATGCTGAAACTTTTAAATAATCTATTTACTTTGTATCAATTAACCTAGATATTTAAAATGAAACATAATAATAATAAAAGATATATAATTTCAGCATGAATGACATATAATCTATTTAATAATATTGCATGTTGATGCATAGTTGCATAATGAATGCCACGTAACAAACAAATTTATATCATGTAATTAACTCACTTAGTTTACAACATGACTAACATAATTTATGATATAAATAACATATGATAAAGCTTTTAAATAATTTATATTTAGTCTTTATAGTTAACATTGTCTAGAAACTAGTTCTTATACTTAAAAAAATTACATTTCAGTCCTTATAGTTTGATCTTCACCATTAACAACGTTATAATAGTAAGGATTAAAATATAATTTAATTTAAATGTAGAAATTAATTTATAAATAAATATTAACTAAGGAATTAAAAATATATTTTAACTAAAAATTTTAAAAAAATTGGTCAATTTATTTTAAAAAAATAAAAAATGAGTCACTAAATAAAAGAATTATGAGTTTTAAAAGTATTGAAGACTCATATTTAAGTCAAATATTATTTATGATTAAAAATCATATATATGTATTGTTAAAACTTATTGATTTGGTAAATAAATAAATTAATCAAAAAATAATAATTATAGTTAATAAAAAATTAAGAATAATTCATATATGACAAAGACTTTTTATTATAGTTAAAAAAATATTTAGATATACTAGTCTTTTTGAGTCGACGTAATAAAACAAAAATAAACTAGATATGTCTATATATATATATATATATATATATATATATATATATTATCTAATTGATAGATACATCAACTAATAAGATTTTGAATAGATATATAAAAATTGTTTACTTATATCATGATAGAAAATTTAAAAATTCATTTAAAAATTCATTTATATAATAAAGTTAATCCTTCAAAATTTTGAATAATAGTATAAATTTCACATCTCAAATACAATAAATATTTCATTTCTTACATAAAAAATATTTTTCAAAGATTTTATAGATTTTAATATACCATATAAAAAAATAGGTTTAGTTAAGTATTTTATCTCTACAAAAATTACATAAACTCTTAATTAGGATGATAAGTTCAAATTGTGTAATTTCTTTAAAATTATAATTAGTTAAAATGCATATTTGGTTTTTATTTTGACAGATTTATGAATTAGTGTCTATACTTAAAGAAACTTACATTTTAGTTCCTATAGTTAAAAAAACTTACATATTAGTCCTTTTACTTAAAACACCTAAATTTGTTATGATTTGGTTAATTTCATTGTTAACATTGTTATAACATCAAGAACTAAAATGTAAATTACAAGATCAAAACGTAAATAAAAAAAACTTGTATGGGGACTATAACGTAACTTTTTTAAGTATAGAGACTAATTTATAAATATGTATCAACTATAGAGATTAAATGTATAATTTAATCAATAATTTATTTATTTTATATCATCTAACCTGAATATTTAAAAAAAAAAAAAGTAAAAAATTAACCACCATAATTTCAGAATGAATGACATTTAGTCTATTTAATAATATTACATATTAGGGCATAGTTACTAAAGATGAAAATAGACTAAGCTTTGTATAAATAGGCCTGACCTATTTAATAATTTAAAGTTTAAGTCTAGTCTATTATTTTTTTATAAACTTTTTACTAAGCTTAACATGATTTGACCTATTAGCTTTTTTAATAGCCTATTTCGTACTGAGACATTTAACAAGTCATTAAGTTTCCTTATAAACAGACTATTAAACCATTTAAATAAGTATATCATTTTAAAAGTTATATATCTAAATAAACTATTAAAAAAATAATTTAATACCTTAAATATATATATATAATAAAATTACATATTCCTATTTATCACTTTCAAATCACATATTTAATTTAAATAAGTAAATCACTATACATATAAAAAATACAATAAAATGAACACGATATAACTAAATAAATTTTAAACATAAAATTTATAAATTATTAAGCAAATCTAGTAGTATAAAGTCTTACATGTTAAATCAACAAATACTATATAACTAAATAAATTTTAAATATAAAATTAATAAATGCAACAAACAAAAGTTTAAAATGCACAAATAACAATATTGTTTCATAGTAAATGAGAAGTAACAAATATATCATTAGATTTTTAAGGAAATCTTTTCACGTTATTCATCAACCTTCAAAATAAAGAAAAATATTATTAGAATAAAAATACTTTAAAAATAGTTATTAAAAAAATTTTTAAAAATATTTTTAGAAGTTATTAATTTTGATTTTCTTGACAAATTATGCTTGTGACGAAACCAATCTCCACCACAGATTAATTCTTCAATAGACTCCTCCTTCAAATGAGCGATATTCATTAATAACTCTACATCTAGCACTAATCGTAAACTCTAATGTCACGGTTGAATTTTAACATATTATTATATTATAATCTTTATATAAAATTATTTAATATATTATTATAAATTTTAAATAAATTGTTCTAATAGACCTAATAATTTTTTTTAAGTTTAAGTAAGACTTATTTAATTAATTAAACTTTTTAAAAAGTTTAAATTAAATATATAGTTACAACATGAATGCCATGTAGCAAACAAATTTGTACCATGTAATCCACTTTCATAATTTATACTGACAAATCAATTCACAACATAAATGACATATGGTGAAACTTTAAAATAATCTATTTACTTCATATCAGCTAACATGGATATTTAAAATGAAAAAAAAATATAAAAAGTAGACCATCATAATTTCAGCATGAATAACATATAATCCATTTAATAATTTGCATGTTTGAACACAATTGCAGCATGAATACCAAGTGGCAAACAAATTTGTTGTATAATTCACTCGTACGGTTTGCAGCATGACTAACAATTTATGGTATAAATGACATATGATGAAACTTTTAAATAATTTATTTAGTTGATACTAGCTAACCTGGATATTTAAAATAAAATAAAAAGTAAAAAATTGACTACCATATTTTCAGCATAAATGACATAGTCTATTTACTAATATTGCATGGCCATGCATGTTTGCGACATAATTGGCATACGGTAAACCATTTTGTACCATGTAATTCATTCAGATAATTTATGGTGAAGCTTACATTTAGTCTATTCCCTCTATACCAGTGTTCTTAAGCCTAACTGTAAATTTCTGTTTGTAAAGTAAACTAGAGGAAATTATCGGTAGTAAAATAGAACACCTAAGCATTTCATATGAAGCGTTTCAATCCTTAATAACTGAATTAATACAACACATATCACACTCTTATGCAATATGTATCTAGTTTGATGCGGGCTAACTCTCTAGATCAGTCCAAACACAACGTTTTTCCATAATTTAATAGATGTAGTTTAACAATCAAGTATAACGTGATGACTCCCTTTTAGTAGATTCCTCTTCATCAATACCAATCAATTCACCAATGAAAGTCTTAAATGGTGTAGGCCACCAATATGATGACGATCCATCAAGTAATGGAGTGATCGATGGTTCTTTCTCCTCCATTTGAGATTGCTCCATTGTGTTGCTTTGAACAACTCTCTGATTAACTCCCCGCATCCTCCAGAAGCTAGCCATATTGGCGCTATCTTTCGATGATGTCTGGTCCATCAAATATGGCACTATGTGCTGTTTCATATCCTTCCTGGAGATTCCCAGATGCTTTCCTGGAACACTAATAAAGTGAACTTTGCCAGCTTCATCTAGAGTTCTTAAGCCTATCCAATCCTCAATGTAGAGTTTTGTCTGCAAAGCAATTAAGAGAGTAAAACAAAATACGTAGGTCCACTACAACAAGAAATCTCACACGAAAGTTGACATTTGATGTTTTGCAGAACTATTAGTTGTATTTTAAGTCGACCTATTGGTTTGCTTATTTGATATGACTTCCAAGTCATGACATAAAAATCATTGTATCACACTGATTAATTACCTCATATGCCAAAGCCTACAGTTTCAATCATGAATTGTCATCTCCTTTATTTATCATTATCGTGCCTTTAACAAGATCCTTCAATAAAAGTAATGTGTTGGTGCAGATAGATTGTTGGTTTTTTATTTTGGTGAAAATAGAGTAATAGTTTTAGTTACAACAGTCAATTGCCAGACCATACTAGTCAACATTACATCACAGTGCAGTGGTTTAAAGCTGTCAATTAACAGTAAATAATGCCAAGAATTTCATATTAATATAGAAGCTACAGCTTCCACAATGTTGAAATAGCAATGACATTTATGACTTAAACGGGTAAAAGAATCTTAAGGAAGCAAATTCATTGATATCATTTAATAGTTGTAAAGCAAAATTCTGAATATGGCAACTTATATCACAGGCAAAAATCTATCCAAGTTGAATTACTGATCATACCTCTTGCGGTGGTAAAACTGGCTTGAAGAAGCCATCTGGGTAATATCCAAACCAGGAACTTTCTTTTGGTATTAAAACAGTGTCATGCTGAAACTGTTAATGTATAAAATAAGATGACATATATGTAAGTTTTTCTCATGAAATAAGCTGGCAATAATCAATTTTATAACAATATCAAAGAAAAATACCTTTAGAGGACTTACCATGATAAGTACCAAATTCTGCAAGCTACTGAATCTTTCCTTGTAAGTGAAATTTCTCTGATCTGGTATTTCATTGTTAAGCACTGGGAGAAATCTACACTTCTCCAAATATTCAGGTATGGCCTGAAATCAAAATTTGTATCAACGTCAAGGTTTTGAGCAAATTTAAAGCAAACATATAACTATGATACATGGATACAGATTATTATATAATTGAATAGTAGAGTAGAAAAAAAGGCTCTGCAGTTTACTCCTCCGTGGAAAAATATATTTGAAATTGAAAACTACACAAACCTACTACCAAAACATGACTTATTGCTCCATTAGCACTTTTTAGATAAATAAGCACCAATCATTACACAATTTCTTTGGAATTATTAACAAAGAGTATAACACTCACATTCGGTAATTTAAGATATCCACTAGGAGCCAAGTGTTCCTGCAATATTTTAAAATTGAGGTACGTCAATGTGTGAATGAAAATGAATGTTAAATGCCAATAAATGAGACAACAAATAAAGTGCACCCTAAGATGCTAGAAAAGAAAAAAAGGAAATATTGTAAAACTGAAAAAGAAAATAGAGATCAGATAGAGGAGAAAATAAATACCTGAATATAGCTACTGTAAACCTCTCCCTTGATGAGGGTGTCTGCTAAGAAGCAGAAGATTCCTGACTGTTGAAACAAAATACCATTCAAAAACGTTAGAACAAGGCAAAAGAGAATTATTGCATTCTTCTAATCTGTTCTTTTGCGCATATTACTGCTAACATGACCAATAATTTTCAGAGACACAGCGTCAAAGTAAAGGTTGCAATATGTTGCAACCAACCACAGCACATGGCATTGCATAAACGATGAATCAAAAGTACTCTGCACAAGGTACAAGTGAACACAAATGCAGATGAAACGAGACAACTGCAGAAGTTTTAGTAATTTTATTTGATAACACTCTAGTGACTCTTCAGGAAGATTAAAATTGATAAAATGTTTCACTCTATTTTATGTTACAAATTTTTTTAACACATTTGATTTTTCAGTCCCCTACCATATCTATTATCAAAGATATACCATAAAACAGAAAAGAAATATATGCTCTTATTAGTTTTTAAAAAATGATAAGATTTTTTCCATTGTCAATTTAGAGTGGACAAAGTTAACAAAGCTATGGTAAATCATTGATTAGGCACCCTAAGATAACCAAGGTCAATTTTAGGAAAATGAAGTGAATGGAGTAGGGGATTAGAGTTCTACATAAGCACAGTAGGAAGTCAGAAGTGTGACCTCATGTAACGACAACAAACGCAGAAGAAGACACAAAGGGAATCTCCTTTTTGCTTGTAATTTTATTGATAACAACTTTTTTGATGAACCCTAATACAATCACTAAGGTAATTATAGGAAAAAGAAATAGCAATCAAATCCTATAAAAAGGAAACAACAATCCACTTGAAAAAAGGAACAGAATATTATATGAATAATATTTAAATTGCTTAATTATTAAGAGCCTGTACAAAATACATTTATATATACTAATAGTCTTCTAATCAAGGAAATAAAAAACTATACAAATCAAATCTGTGCTAATTACGGAACAAATCTCCTAATTATAATTTACAACACTCTCCCTCAAGCTGGTGAATGTATATCTATCATTCCCAACTTGCAAGTAAGATCTTTAAACTGCTCAATGGGAAGTCCATTGGTGAACATGTCGGCCAGCTGCAGTCTTGAAGGAATGTACTTGGTGGTTATAAGCAAGGTAGTCAAAATTGCGTCTCAGCTCGTAGAATCGTACGATTCTACAATCTCCAGCCAAGCTTCAGTGTCGAATCGGTGATGGAAACACGATTTGGTAGGATTAGTGGGATCATGCTTGTTGGAGCGTAAAATTGTTGAAATGCATGATCCTGACGTGCAAAAAAAAAAAAAAAAAAGACTTTTTGGGCCCCTTGACCCGCGACCCGACCCGACTACATTAAAGGGATTGGAACCCTAAAATCCCAAACTTTTCTGCGATTGGGGACTGGGCTTAGCTCTGGCGACTCAAATTTTTTTGCGATTGAGTCTGAGATTTTCTGATTTTTGTGCTCTGTTTTTTTCTTTTTCATCTTCATCATCTCTGGGCTATTGTGTGTGACTAAGATTTTCTTTATCTTTTGTTTTTGTGCTCTGCTTTTTGTTTTCTGTGCTATGGTTGTCTGTTACCATTAGATAAAATGGCTTCAACCAGTAGTCAAGCTCCTCCCTCCAAGTCATTACCAAAGAATGCACCGAGAAACAAAAGTGATGTAGCATGGCAATATGGGATTGCAATTGAAGGTACAAGAAAAATTCAATGCAAATATTGTCAAAAAATTGTAAGTGTAGGTGCTTATAGATTGAAGCATCACTTGGCTCAAACAGCCAAAAATGTTGGAGCATGCAAATCTGTTCCAAACGAGGTCAAAGCAAATGTGAAGTTTACTTGTAAGCATGCAAGAAAATTTGAATAAAAAAATCAAATTCCTTTGCTGAGAGAGAGACTTTAGATACAAGTAGTGGAAGCAAAAGAAAAACGAGAATAAGGTGACTGGAGGAGGAAATATTTTTTGGAAAAGGAGCACCCAAGCAACAATCAACAATATATTCAACAAAACTAGAAGAGAGGAGGCTTGTCAAGTTATTGGAAGGTTTTTTTTTTATAATAATGCCATATCATTCAATGTGGCAAGAAGTGATGAATTTTCTGTTATGTGTGATTTAATTGCTAGCCATAGTCCTGAATTTAAATCACCAAGCTATCATGAAATTAGAGTAAAGTATTTGAAGAAGGAAATAGAGTTAACAAAGGAGAGATTAGAAGAACATAGAGCTGCATGGAATACTATTGGATGCACATTAATGACTGATGGGTAGACTGATAAGAGGAAGAGAACAATATTGAACTTTTTGGTGAATAGTCTTAAAGGAACTATTTTTTTGAAATCTATTGATGTATCTCATATAGAAAAAACAGCTGATAAAATATTTAAAATAATTGATGATGTTGTTGAAGAAATTGATGAGAAAAATGTAGTCCAAGTTGTAACTGATAATGCAGCAAATTATAAAGCTGCAGGGGAGATGTTGATGCAAAAAAGCACATTGCATTGATTTGATGTTGGAGGACTTTGAAAAGAAGATACAGATTCATGAAGAGACAATTCCAAAAGGTAGAAAAATACAACCTACATCTATTTAAGGACAGGTCTTATTTCTCTGTTGCAACATTTTACCAAAGGCAAAGAATTGATAAGGCCAGGAATTACTCGTTTTGCTACATCTTATTTGACTCTAGGGTGCCTTCAAGAAAATAGAATTGTTTTGATAAGAATGTTCACATCTAATGAATGGAAGTCCTCTAAGTTTGCTAAGACAAAGGATGAGAGAGTTATAGAAGAATTGATTTTAGATAAAGAGTTTTGGAAGAATATAATAACTTGTTTGAAGGCATCATTTCCTCTTATCAAAGATCTTCGAATGGTTGATTCAGATGAGGAAACTATGGGCTTTATTTATGAGGCAATGGATCAAGCTAAAGAGAATATTCAAATTGCTTTCAATGGTGTTAAGAAAAGGTAACTACCTATAATTATTATCAAATTTAATTAGTCTTTATTTTGTGATCTATATTGTATTGTATATTGAATCTTTGTTGTTTGCTCTTTATCAGTTACGTACCTATATGGAATATCATAGATGAAAGATGGGATAAACAGCTCCATAGGCCTTTGCATGCTGTAGGCTATTTTCTTAATCCTAGGATGCACTATAATCCTAAATTTAAGACTGATCTTGAAGTTAAGCGTGAACTATATGATTATTTGATAAGGATAGTGCTTGATCAAGATGAACAATGTAAAATTGATTGTCAACTTGATTCATTTAGAAAGTGAGCTTGTAATTTTGGTAGTCACTTGGTTAGAAAAACTATTGATATGCGTCTGCCAATTAATTGGTGGATGTCTCATGGAGATGAGTATCCTGAGCTTCAAAGATTTGCTATTCAAATACTAAGCTTGACATGCAATTCTTCTTGATGTGAACATAACTGGAGTGCCTTTGAGATGGTAAGTAGAAATTCTTTTTTCTAAAATTATGTATTAGGCTAGCCAACTATTTTTTTGTATCTTAAATTATAATTTAATATATTATTATTTGATAGGTGCATACTAAAAGAAGAAACCGTTTGAAGCAAAATACAATGGATGATGTAGTATTTGTTATGACAAATTCAAAATTAGCCAAGAAGAAGACAGCTAGGAAAGTGAAGGATCTTCACATAAATGTAGATGATATTCCATCTGACAATGAGTGGATAGTGAAAAACAATGATAGAGAAATCATAAAGATTTGGGCCTAGAAACTAATTTAGAAGATAAGGACATTGAGGTTGATACTCTTAATGAAGATGAGGACTTGGATTTAGATCAATGTTCAAATCAAGATGTTGGTGTTGGTGATGTTCCTAATATAGACAATTTAGATGATGAAGGAGATGAAGGACCAAATGAAGAAGATGGGCCAAATGAAGATGATGAAGGAGACGATGAAGTTTTTTATTATCAAAATATTTTAGATATGATAAAATAGATATTTAAAGTTTAAATATTGATTTTGTATTTGGTTTAGAACTTTGGAATATGTTTATGTTGGACATGTTCTTAATATTCATCTTTTAAAGTACTGTAGTTTGAATTAATGTTTTTATTTTCTTCCTATTTATATTATTTTATATGTATATATACAATTTTATAAGATCTTACGTTCCGTGTTACGATTCTGAGTTATGATCCTGAACCCCCTCTCCAATCGTACGTAGAATCTCGATTTTGACTACCATGGTTATAAGGCCGCTGTCCAATTTTTCCTTAATGAAATGTCGGTCTATCTCTATGTGCTTTGTTTGATCATGTTGAACTGGATTGTGCGCAATGTTGATGGCTGATTTTTTATCACAAACCAGTCTCATGGGAGCTTCATACTTTATTTTGAGGTCAGCAAGTATTATCTTCATCCATAACAGTTCACAGCCCCCTTGTACCATAGCTCTAAATTCTGCCTCTGCACTTGATCTTGCAACCACATTTTGCTTCTTGCTCCTCCATGTCACCAAATTTCCACCCAAGAACATGCAATATCCTGTGGTGGACCTCCTATCAACAACTGATCCTGCATAGTTAGCATCAGTATACATTTCCATGGATAAGTTTCTCTCCTTTTTAAATAGCAATCCTTTCCCTAGAGAGGCCTTCAAGTATTGAATAATTCTATTTACTGCCTGCAAATGTCTTTCTTTTGGATCATGCATAAACTGACTAACTACACTAACCGCATAGGCTATGTCTGGCCTGGTGTGGGATAAATATATGAGCTTTCCTACAAGTCTCTGGTACTATGTCTTATCCACCTTTGAGCTTTCTTCATCATTTCCAATTCTATGGTTTTGCTCTATGGGTGCTCCAGTGGTCCTACAGGTCTCTTTAAGAAGATCAAGAATGTATTTCCTTTGAAAAATAAAGATACCCTGTTTGGAGTATGTAACTTCTATCCCAAGAAAATATTTTAGCTTACTAAGATCCTTCATCTCAAATTGAGCAGCCAACTTTTTCCTCAAATTCTGTTTTTCCATCTCATTGTCATCTACAATAATC